TGGAGAGTAAAATGTAAGAAAATTTCATGGAGAATATGTTAGTGTAGGGGTGTGATTGTAATGAATCAAAGGATATAGATGGAATTTCCAAGAAAGAGCAAGGGCATTATGGGAATGAATGAGGATATTTTGAGCTAAAAAGGGTTGAAGCTTAGTGAACCCTTCATTCATTCTTCTTCCACCGCCTCCTTCATTCTCCATTCCTCTCAAGTTTTCCTTCAATCTTGCAAGGATTCAAGAGGGCTTTTTGAGTAGTTTGAAGTAGGAAGGTAATCTAAAACATCCTAAGGTAAGGATTCTTGCTTTAGATGTTAATTTTACCTTTATATGAGGTGAAGTCTTATAGCATGGTTGGTTAAAATTGTAGAGAAAAGACAAGTTATCAAAGGTAAAGAGAAGTGCTAGTGGAATCACTCCATCACAAGTAAGTAAAATCCAACTCAAGCTAAAGTTTAAGAAATCATTTGAGTAGAGATTTCTTTATGCTTGTATATATGATGCTTGTTGAGAAATTAAGTAGAGATATATGATGATTTTAGAGAAATTAAATTGAGTTAAGTATTCATGTTGAGTTTGTTGGATACTTTTCCTTTATAAGAAGTGTGGATGTGTGATGAGTTGAGATGAAGTTAGATGAGATTGAGTATATTTTGGGAGTGTTCTTCTATGGTAGGGATTATGCCCATGGAAGGGAGTTTACTTCCAATTTTGGATGGTTAGAGAAAGAAATAGAGCTATTGTTAAAATAGAGTTTTTGTATGCACATGAGTTGTTTGATGAAATACCTAAGAGAAGTATGAGTATGATTAGTCAACCTTAATTCTTGCTACATTGCATATTGGCATTTCATAAGAGCATTAATGAGCATAAACCATCCATATGCATTAATTATGCATTTGAGAAGTAGCATGAGAGAGAAAGTATAGAATTTTGAGTATAAGTTACACTATGAGTAATAGTTTAAGAAAGAGTAGAGAACTTTGTGAATAGACTACTCTAAGAGTTAAGCTATACTATAAGTACTAGCTTGAGAGAGAGATGAGTATTAGCTTGAGCAAGAGTAGAGGTCTTTGTGAATAAGTTACTCTAAGAGTAAAGAGCAAAAGAGAATGAGCACTAGAGAACAAAGAGAAAGTAGTGCTAAACAAAAGAATAGAGTAGGTTGTGCGATGGGGAACCCGTGAGTGATGAGTAGAGTCACGAGAGTGGGTGCTTTGTGATCCCCAGCCGTGCCTCCGGTAAGATGGGGCCGTGACCGTCACGAAGAGTGGAACGTGAGGTTCCAGCCATGCCACCGGTGCAGAAGTGGTTGTGACATTCAGAGAGAGAGAGAATACATTCACATGGCCAAGGGTTCCGAATCTATGCATGACCAAATCCGATCGGTAGAGAAAATGAGTAAGTCACGAAGAGTGGGTACTTTGTGATTCCCCAACTGTGCCTCCGGTCAGAAGAGGTTATGACATACATCAGAGAACTTATAGAGAAGAGTATGAGAAATAGAAACAGAAACAAAAAGAAAACAGAAATGAGAAAAGGTCACGAGTAGTGGGAGCTTTGTGATCTTCCGATCGTGCCTCTGGTAAAACGGGGCCGTGACATATGACTGAGTAAAAGTCACGCAGAGCGGGCTTGATTTCCCGACCGTGCCTCCGGTAAGATGAGGCTGTGACGTTTAAATGAGAAAGAACAGAGAGAGAGAAAAGTATAAGTCACGAAGAGTGGAGTGAGTCCAGTCGTGCCTCCGGTAAGATGGGGCCGTGAAACTCAACGAGAGAGTTAATAGAATGAGCTATGTGAAAGAGAAATAGAGTTAATGAGAGAGTAATGTAAGGAAAAGAATTAAGAAAAAGAGTTACGGGGATGGTTGAGTTGAGGATTTGCTTACTGAGCCTTTTTGTGCTCACCCCGTTGTTTCTATGTGTTTTGCAGGATCTAGGTGTGGACGCAGTCGGATGGACGTCGGCAAGCGAAGAGAAATAGTTACACTATCCACCCTGTTTTTGAGAGCTTTTGTATATATAATACTTTATATTTGTGTAAAGTATATGTATATTTAATAAAAGAAAATTTTGGGCCCATTTATATATGTTATAATACATGTAATTTATTATATGTATTTTTATGAGTATATGAGTAGAAAGCAGTTATTACACTCTGCAACGTCTTGAGATTTGGGATTGTCATAATTTGCTTGTTCTACCAGAGTGGATGTGCAATTTAACATCCCTTTCACATCTTGAAATCTTCAATTGCTACAATCTGATATTTCTAGTAGAAGGAATGCAATTATATAGCTTGTATATCAACAACTGTCCTCAATTGTTAGAAAGATATGGTAACCCCATGGGTAATGGCTGGGTACAGATTGCTCATATCCCAAATATTAAGATTGATTCGAAGCTGATTCAAATAGACGGCTATCTATTGAATGAATAAGGGTACTCCATCTTGGTGGTTTTTAGAATACCGGATTGTCACAAAGAAAAGGAAAACTGAAGAGTGTCTAACTTGTCCATTCATTAACTAACAAATACATAATATAACCTTTTCAGTCTTACTGTTACAACCACTATAGCATTAAGCTTTTTGCATAATCAAAGGTAAACCACACAATTTGAACAACCATGCTACAATTAGGAGACATAAAGCCTCATATTCAGTTAGATTCACCTAAACATAACATAACACAAAAAGTTAACATGTTGTCCCTAAGTTACTGCTTACAGCACAACACCATGCACAACACTTTATTTGTGGCGAAAGCAATCTTCAAGCTTCAGTCCCTGCACAATGCACTTCCAGCATAGCATCATAACTTCATCACTCCTCCTTGATGCTTTTGCTGGAAATGCCAAGTTTTAGCCTTAAGTCTTCAAACTTGGATTTGGACAAGGCTTTGGTCATAATGTTCGCAACTTGATCTTCTCCTTTGCAATGCATTAAACTGACTTCACCATATTGTTCAGCTTCCTTTACTGCATGATACTTTATCTTGATATGTTTAGTTCTTCCATGGAGTACAGGGTTTTTGGCCATGGCTATTGCCGACTGATTATCACACAAAATTAGAGTTGGACTTCCCTGAACTTGTTGCAAATCATTCAAAATCTTCCTTAGCCATACAGCTTGGTTTACTGTTGTTGCTATAGAGATATATTCTGCTTCAGCAGTGGACTGAGCCATAGTCTCCTGCTTCCTTGATAACCAACAAACTGCACCTTGGTTTATGTAAAATACATAACCAAAGGTACTCTTCAAATCATCTAGGGAACCACCTTAGTCACTATTAGTATAACCCAACAGCTTCAAACTTTCGGATTTTTTAAAACAAATGCCCAACATGTTGTTTCCTCTCACATACCTCAAAACTCTTTTGGCTGCTTAAAAATGCAGCTCACTTAGGTTGCTCATGAACCTAGAAAGGTAGCTTGCAGTGAACATGAGGTCAAGCCTGGTGGCTGTGAGATAAAGCAGACAACCTACTAAACTCCTGAATTTTCCCTCATTCACTCTCTCTGCACCATCTTGTTTACTCAGCTTTAGGTTACGAACCAGCGGGGTATATACTTGTTTACAATTTTCCATCCCAAACTTCATTAGTATCTTAGTTGCATACCTCTATTGGCACACAAAAATTCCATCTGGAGACTGACTTATCTCCATGCCAAGAAAGTAAGTCATCAGCCCCAAGTATGTCATTTCAAATTCAGTTTGCATGGCTGTCTTGAACTGATTCAACTCTTCAGGATTACTTCCAGTAATTAGCAAATCATCAACATATAAAGAGACCACAGCCAATCCACTTCCAATCTTCCTAATGTAAGGTGTGTGTTCATTTGGACTTCTAGTGTATCCTAGATTCATAAGTAGTCATTTATCTGGCTGTACCAGGCTCTAAGGGCCTGTTTCAAGCCATACAATGCCTTCCTCAATAGGTACACTTTGTCTTCTTTTCCTTTAACCTTATATCCCTCAAGTTGCTCCACATATATCTCCTCTGTAATCCAGCCATTCAAGAATGCTGATTTGACATCCAACTGGAAAATTTTCTCGTCAAATTGGGCTACAAGTGCTAGAAACAATCTGGTGGTATCATGTCTGGCTACAGGAGCAAAAGTATCAGAAAAATCAATCCCTTATTGTTGTACAAACGCTTTAACCACAAGTCTTGCTTTATGCTTATAGATTGATCCATCAGGGTTAATTTCCAGCTTGTAAATCCATTTCACTTGGATTACCTTCCTCTTTTCTGGTCTGTCTACTAATCTCCAGGTATTGTTCTTCTCAATCATGGTGAGCTCTTCCTGCATTGCAGCCTTCCAGACATCAGATTTTGCTGCTTCATTATAATTCCTGGGTTTAACCATAGCCACATTACATCTTTCGTATACATCAGCCAGGGATCTAGTCCCTCTCACTGCATGTTCTTCATCAGAATTAGAATCAGAATCAGCCTCTTGGATTAGCTCTTCTCTTATCTCTTCCTGCCTTAGTTCAGCTTCCTCATTTATTCTTTTCTCTTCCCAATTCCAAACTGCACTTTCATCAACCCTTACATCCCTTGTAATCAAAATTTTCTTTGACTTAGGGATGTAAACTCTGTAGCCTTTAGATTGGCTGCTGTAACCTATGAAAATTCCAACCTCAGCCTTATCATCCAGCTTAGTTGTCTTGCTTGCTGGAACCATGACATAATATATGCTTCCAAATATTTTTCAGACTTCCTACTGCTGGTTTAACTCCACTCCAGGCCTTAATTGGAGTTTGGTTCTTGACTGCTTTAGTTGGCAGTCTATTTAGGAGATAAACTCCTGTATTATAGCCTTAGCCCAGAACATTTTGGGAAGCTTCTTCTCTGCCATCATGGATCTTGCCATCTCGATGATGGTTCTGTTTCTCCTGTCACTAACACCATTCTGCTGTGGAGTGTAAGGGGTAGTAAATTGGTGCTGAATTCCAGCTTCATGGCAAATTGAACAGAATTCACTTGATGTGTATTATGTCCCATTATCACTCTTTATAGCCTTGATCATTGTCCCAGCTTGGTTCTCCACCAGCAACTTGAATTTTCTAAACACAGCAGCTACCTCATTTTTCTGCTTCAGAAAATATACCCAAGCCATTCTAGAATAATCATTAATGAAGAGTACAAAGTACCTACTACCATTCAGTGATTCAGTCTTCATAGGACCACACACATCCGTGTGGATCAACTGTAACTTGTCACTGGCTCTCCAGGCCTAATCTGATGGAAATGATGGTCTACTGAGTTTGCCAAGTTGGCAGGCTATGCAGAGATTCTTTTTCTCCTCTATTTCGGGTAAGTCCAACACCATGTCTCTAGTCTTAAGTTCTTTAAGACCTAAGTAGTGAAAGTGACCAAACCTTTTATGCCAAAGTTCTGACTCTTCAGACCTATTGGTTAGTGAAAAGTTTTCTAACTTTTTCCACTCTATCGGAAAGCTTTTTCCCAGCATTCTAACATTCATCAGCTCATTTCCTTCACTGTCTAGTATAATGCATGATTGATTTTGAAAGTGCAATGTATAATTTTTTTTTCTAGCATTTGTCCTACACTCAACAGATTTTGTGTAATTTCTGGTACATATAAGACACTTGTGATAACCTTGGTACCTGATTGTGTTAGGACAGCAACATCTCCAATTCCTTTGGCTTCCACATATTCTCCATTTCCAATTTTGACTCTGGAGTTGTAGGTCTTGTCCAGCCTGATGAAATTCTGCAAGTTGGCTGCCATTTGGTTGGTGCACCCACTATCTATCAGCCACACTGCTGGTCTGAGTTGTGTAGCATGAAGGTACAAACAGTTGCTCAAACTCATTGCCCTGCTGTTGATCCTCTGCAGATTGAGCTTGTTGTGATGGTTGTGCACCTTTGTTCTTGCAAACTTTCTCAATATGCCCAAACTGTTTGCAACCTTTACATTGGATCCCAGGCCTAAACCAGCACCTATTCTCTGAGTGACCCTCTTTTTGCAGTAAGGACATGGTGGATAGCTTCTTGTTCCACTTGGTTTTCCCCACTATCCACCAGTTTTCTCTTTTCCTCTCTTGTCTTCGGCATACCTTCTATTATTCCCCTATACATTATTTCCCTTTTGAACAGCCATCATAGCACCTTCATCAGTGTCCTCCTGCCTCATTAACCTTCTTTGTTCTTGAGCCTGCAATGCATGGACTAATTCAGTGAGGCTAATTTGTGACAGATCCTTTGAATCTTCTAGGGAGGAAATCTTGGATTCAAACCTCTCGGGTAAGCTCACTAGCACCTTTTCAACAATCATCTTATCACTCATTTCTACTCCCAATAGCCTGATCTTATTAACCACGCTCATAAGCCTATCTACATATTTTTTTACTTTCTCCATTTCTTGCATTCTCAACATCTCAAATTCTCTCCGCAAGTTCATCACTTGTATGTTCCTTGTTGTATCACTTCCCATGACTCTTAGTCTATCCCAAGCTTCTTTTGCTGTTTCACACGCCATTATCCTTGTAAACACAAGGTTTTTCACAGCCGAATATATGTGAGATAAGGCCCTTGGAGCTTTTGACATTTCTTCTTCATACAACCTCATCTAATTCAAAGTAGGGTTTGGACCAAGCTGTGGTGGTTGTTTCTCTTCCTCAACATACTGCCAGAGCCCTTGCCCTCTTAGATAGGCTTTCATTCTAACAGCCCAAATATTGTATTGGTCACCATTGAACACTAGTGGTGAAAGATAAGCTAACTGATTTGCCATGGAAACAGATTGTAGTTTGGGATAGAATTGTTCTTCAAGTAGTTTGGGATAGAATTTTTCTTCAAGGAGGCTGGAGTTTGATAATGATTCAAGGTTAGTTTTTTGAGTTTAAATGGAGGTCTGGTAAACTGGCTATGATACCATGTTGGTGGTTTTTAGAATGTCGGATTGTCACAAAGAAAAGGAAAACTGAAGAGTGTCTAACTTATCCATTCATTAACCAACAAATACATAATATAACATTTTCAGTCTTATAGTAAGCTTTTTACATAATCAAAGGTAAACCACACAATTTGAACAACCATGCTACAATTAGGAGACACAAAGCCTCATATTCAGCTGGTTTCACCTAAACATAACATAACACAAAAAGTTAACAAGTTGTCCCTAAGTTACTACTTACAGCATAACACCATGCACAACACTTTATTTGCGGCAAAAACAATCTTCAAGCTTTAGTCCCCGCACAATGCACTTCCAGCATAGCATCGTAACTTCATCACTCCTCTCCTTAAAGAGGTTGGTAATACTCTTCATTGTATATCTTTATTTCTAAATTTATAACTTGTCTCTTATTTCTGCTTATTTTATTTTTTGTGCAATAGACATTGAAGCTCACTGCCGATGTGATTTCAGCAATTTCAAGAAATTGAGAGTTACTTATCTCACACTCACTTGTTTTCTAGCATCTGATCTACATTATGTTACACATGCTGATCATTTTCTTATTTTGCTACAAAATCTTGAATTGTAGATATCTTTTATCCTTCTCTAGGCAACTAGTCTATAGTTATTCAAAATTGATTGCTTGATCTTTTTGTACTTTATATCCACCAATCTTTCAAGACTCCATAGTTGCTTATCTTCTCTATTCTTAAGATTACGAACCGAATTTGGGATGACTACTTGGGCATATCTTTACCAAGACAAAGTTAGTGAATTTATCCATTGATCTTTGGCACATTAATTCACTGAATACCAACAATTGCACAGGTAATAATTGAAATCTTAATTTTGAATCTTTCTCTAGCTTTGTTCAAGATGGTTACCTGATATGTCAATAAACTATATTCCATTTTTCATGTATTTTTGTTGATGCAAATTTGATTCATTTGATTTCAAATTCATGTAAAATCGAACACGCTTTCTCTCAAGATTCTTTTGGGTCTTTTAACTAGTCCAAAATTCCTCATTTATTCAGTTTGAACCGAACATAGGCACTTTTAACTTTAAAACTTGTCAATATTGAGAATTCAGAATATAATGTTAACATCATTAATTATCACTTTCTTCAGTTCACTAAGACAATTTTGGTGTGAATCCATGATATGCATGTAGAGAATTATTCACCAAATGTGAATATAAATCAATGCATTAAAATCGTGAAGATTGAATTACATAATCAATATAGTATCAATGTATTCAGATCTTAATAACCCACATATTAATTTATAAAATACTGATCTTAATAACTCACATATTAATTTATAAAATAATGAATTAATATTAAAGGTTATAGACAAACCTGTTTGTAAAATGATTCTTGATTCTTTAATTTCATAAAAGAGAAGCGAGAGTTTTTCCCAAAAGTCGGAGAGCGTAAGTCTTCCTTTCTAATAACGTAAACTAAATGATAACTTTCAAAATGGGTTTCAGTTATCTTATAACATTTGGAAATGGGACTTAGTCAATTTAATAATAGTTTATTGGGCTCTCCCATTAAAGGCCTAATAAACCCTAAGGCCCACACTTTTTTTGTCAATCCAGATTAATCAAATGAAGTTTAAAGGGTTAAACTTTAATATGATCACATTAAACCCATTAGTATATCAGTGGACTATCAATATACCTGTTTTAATCAAAACTAACATATAATTAATGTTAGCCCACAATTAGGAAATTTTCCTAACATTCTCCCACTTAGGCAACGTTAATTATTTTATTTTAATTTTAAGAAAAGAAAACAATTTTGACTCCCTGATAAACATAACTTTTTAACTTTAAAGTGGTCACTATTTTAAGAAAACAACATAGTCCAGAGATAACACTTCAACCAACAATCCAGTCAATATGCTTATCAATAATGAACCAAGGCGATCTTTACATCTTTCATCGACATAAGATCAATCCCTGATTACAATTACTAATAACCAAATCACATGGATTAGTAATCTGGCAGTGCAGCAAGGATAACACCCTAACAAGTTATCAAAACATATGTTTTACCCTGTCAATCCTGATTAAGACCTCTCTTTAATCTTTATGCTTTAAAGAAAAGCAAGAGACGTCTCATAGCTTCCAAGGAAGCTAGCCAGCTTCCAATCAGGCTAGTATGTTCCAACCAACTATCTCGAGGTACAAATATGAAACATACTTATACAATTGTCATTCTCAAGAAAATCCTTATTCTTGAGACATGATGTTGTATTTCACCAACCATATGCTATTAGTAATTGACCGGATTCACGCAACGGAAAAATGTAATATTTAAAACGAATCAATCAATTACACGAACCAAGATCCGAGTACAGATTATAACGTTTTCATGCATAAACTGAAATGTAAAATAAAACTATATAAAAACAAATCCATACAAGGATTAAGTTCGTACCGACGTTTGCAGGCTCCTCCGAATATCTCTAACTTCGGACATGAGCACTGTTCACCAACTATTATTCATGGGTTACTGTTCACCAGCTACTATTCACTGGATACTGTTCACAGAAACTATTCACGTGATTCTTTGCTAATCGATCCAATGTAGGATCGCACTCACGGAAGTCCACACGAAGATGATCTGCAGAACCCTTGATTATTTTGCTAGAACAATTAAGGGCTTCAAAAATCAAGAAAGAAGAACAAGAAAAATTTTCTTCTTCACACAAGAGTGTAACGTGAGAGAAAGAGAGAGATAGGGTGGCTAGGGTTCTTGATTATTGAATAATCCTTACTGTTTTAATTTTAAGTTGCACTTATATAGTGCAACAATTAAAACCCTATTCCACATAGGAATAGTCATGGGCTCCAACCCTAGTTCACCCTTACAACCAAACACACCCTTTATGGTATTTTAATTAATTAATTATTATTATAATTAAAATCAATTAATATATAATAATATATTAACATTTAATTAATAATAATAATTCATTAAATATATACATAGATATATTTAAATATAATCTCACTAGATTAATTTTAATATTAAAATTAAATATGGGCAACAACCTCAACAAATTTAATTACACTAAGAGATTACCAAAATACCCTTTCATCCTGAAAGATGAAAATACCCTTCTCACAAATTAATTTTTAAATTATCTTTTAAGTGTGTGACCCATAGGCTCCTCATCATATCGGCAGTGTGTAGTATCGCGATTAATACCAATTAATCGTCTCACTACATATAGACCAAGATTGGCCCCTAGCAAGGCATCATGGCCACCCGATAGATTCGAATTCAGCGAAACCGCAGCCTGTCAACGGTATGGTTACCGTGCAATCCAATCATTTCATCATCTGTTATCTCATTGAGACTGAGGTACAAAAATAGTGTCAACCTCAGATATCCTTGACATGTTTGTATTCAGTTAATAAACCAATGACCGAAATAATAAATTCGATTGAGCATCAACTCAATCCCAATGTGGCCACAGATTTAGCGTCGTTGTCATTTACTGAATTACCCAGTGAGATAACTTCTCCCATACCCAAGAGTGATGAATCCTTTGTCGATACACTTGTCAAAGTAGCCAATCACTACCATATTGATAGCTCTTAATAGAACTACATTGGGCTAGTGTCAAACTACAACAATTGGTGCACAAGGAGCTCCGGTGATCTCAAGTCTAAGGATCACATGAACCACCATCCGTTAGAGGATTTATTCCATAGACACTGGGGTTACCATCCATATGGAATACTCTGGTGGGTCTGTCCAGTGAACTTGCCTCTAGCAAGCACCCATGCATTGCACCAGGTTGTCGGCAAACAACCTTGACAAGTGAGATCAATCATTGCCTTTCGACAAGGTCGTTCAACACTATGATAGCCTTACCATATTATCTGTGTCCTTGGTCAAAATAATACTAGGGCTACGGACATTTCTAGAATGGCCAACATATGTGATCATAGGGTTCTCACTATCAAGATTTGAAACACTTGATACCCTCGTCACGGTTCTACCATCCTAAGGATATATATCATTACATATAACTGTGATTTACACGATATAGAAGAATATGCCTTTTATTGATAAATAAACATTTATTACAGAGTCAATCTTACAATAATTGATTGGCTCTAGGGCATCTACTCTAACAATCTCCCACTTGCACTATAGCCAATCATTCATGTATTTAATACCGAATGACCTTAAGGGTTTATCAGGCTTCTACTGCGACAGAGGTTTTGTCAATGGATCGACAAGATTGTCATCAGTATGCACTTTACTGATCTGCATATCATTCCTCTCAACTATTTCTCTAATGAGATGAAAATATCTGAGTATGTGTTTGGACTTTTGATGAGACCATGGTTCCTTTGCTTGAGCGATTGCTCCATTGTTGTCACAATAGACATCTATCGGATCAACAATCGTGGAAACCGCACAAAGTTCAGTGACGAACTTTTTAATCCAGACTACCTCCTTGGCCACATCGGATAATGCAATATACTCAGCCTTCATTGTAGAGTCCGCCACAATGCTTTGCATGGAGCTCTTCCAGCTCACTACACCCCTATTG